GGTAACTAAAACCCTCCAATCATCTCCTCTCTTCTGCAGTGAGAGTTTGGTGAGAGTTGTGTATACACAACATACCTTTGGTAACCCTTTCCTATATAAAGAACAAACCAAAGTATTGAACCTGAGACTTCCCTGCAGATAACACAACAAAGCCCAGTCAGGCTGACACCAAGAAAACAGAACAGATTTTTTCAAGTGTCTCTTCACTGATAGTTGAAAATCATAAAGTCATCACTCAAACAAAGGTCACACACACTAATATTTCATTGGACCACCTTTAGCTTTGATTTCAGCACACACTTGCTGTGTCATTGTTTCGATAAGCTTCTTTAATGTCACAAGATTAATTTCCATCCAGTGTTGCATTACTGTGTCACCAAGATCTTGCATTGATGATGGTAGAGTCTGACCACTGCACAAAGCCTTCTCCAGCACATCCCAAAGGTTCTCAACGAGGTTAAGGTCTGGACTCTGTGGTGGTCAATTCATGTGTGAAAATGATGTCTCGTGCTCCCTGAACACTCTGAACACAAAATGCAAAGTTCATATTGTTTCATTTATTAAGGAAACTAAGCTATAAACCAGTCTGATCCAGAGTGGAAAAGTTCACACCCACACAACCTAATTACCATTGTAACACCCTTAGAGGCAACTATTCCAACTAGTAGACAAACTTTGCCTGAGGAGGAATTTTATCCCACTCCTTACATAACTGACTGAATTCAGCTGCACTGAAGCTCAGCTTGTTTAAAGCCGGGCGTACACTGTGCGACTTTTTCACTCGCAGCGTTCAGCTTCAGCTCAAACTGTACGACTTCCTCGCAGAGCAGATCTCACGAGTCATGTGCTCACACTGTACGACCCAGTTCTCGTATGCGACCTGACTGCTCACGCTGCACGTCTGGTAGCAACACTTCGGCCCTAAAAATGTGCTAAAAATAGCAGTTTTTACTCAACACGTCAGACTTGTTTGTCTTGTCTTGCCTGTTGTCCTTCGGGAGTGCTGCAGGAGGACACGGGGATTTATGGGGGTTGGATGAGGAAAACGAAATAAAGAAGGTAAATCTGTGTTTTGTGATCAGTTTAATTTGACATGAACACGACAAACACGCTTTCTTGACAATCCTTGTGAGTAAAAAAACGTGTAGAAACAAAAACGAACAGCGTGTGTTATTAGGGAAATAGCGAGCGACCGGCGTTGATGCAGGATTGCGCATGCGCCGTGAGCGGTTCTGATACTTTTTGGGTCGCAGCTGCTCGCAGCGCCGCTTCAACAGTGCGATACCCTCACGAGGGACGAGCAAAATATTAAACACTCCAGAAGTCCGTGCGACCTCACGACTGCTGATCGGCGGCTGGTCACGTGGTGTTAATCGCCTCTCGTAACCCCCTGTACACTACACGACCGCTCGGCGCAAAACTCGCCCCGATGTCGTGGCTTCTCGCACGACTGGAAAATCGGCTCAAAAAAGTGAAAAAGTCGCACAGTGTACGCCCGGCTTAAGATCAAAGGTCAGGTTGCTAGTTCTTGGTTCTGGCAGTAGAAGCAAGGGGTCCAAGGCCCGATGCAGCAACGCAGCCCCAGACCACTATAATAACACCACCGTGTTTCACTGTGTTGGTATGATGTTCTTTTCTGAAATGAGTTTTACTCCAACTGGAATGGGACACACACTTTCCACCTTGTCCAAAAGTCCCACTTTCGTCTCATCAGTCAATGGAATGTACAGGATACATAATACTGGAACATTTTCCTAGAAAACATTTTTATCCATTTTGTAAATGTGAGTTGGCCCTCTGTGTCGTTTTCATTCTGCAGAGGTTTTGGCTTTGGAACTCTCCCATGGAGGCCATTTCACTTTGTCTCTTCCTTATTGATGAATTCTGATCTTTGACCATAACAAGTCTGGCCTGTAGAGCTTCACACTGTTCTGTATTATTTTGGTCCTCACTTTCTCTGGATGAGTCATGATGTGCATGTTTTAAGAGACATTTTAATACATTTCTTTCTAGCAAAGCATTTAATGCCTAACTCGTAATTAGTGACTTGTTTTGTGTTTGTGTGTACTGTTTTCTTCATTTTTATTTGTATTCATTTTTTAACCCTCACTGTCACCCATTCAGATCTCTTAGTATAAAGGGCATCATAAATTAAATTCATCATTATTATGTGTTGCTTTTTGAGATGTTTTCACCCACTTCCTGCTTGCCAAAAATATTCTATTGAAGTGATTTCTTAACTCCAGTCTAGGAGTAGCTAGTGGAACAAGACTCTTAGTCTGGCAGTTTATCTGTGAATTAACAAAGGGGACAATTGATTTCACAAAGAGCCAGGGTGGTTTGAAGAGCTTTGTTTTATTGATACATGAAATAATAATTTGGAAACTACAGTTTGCATTTCCTCAGGTTACCTTTCATACTGAATTTTGCTTGTTGGTAACAACAAATTGCCCTGCAGTGAAAATAAAAGTTGAACTGAACTGAAACGTCTAAGTGACAAAAGAAAAGGAATCTGTGAGGGTGTACCTTTCGTCTGTATTGTGTCACGGTGCGCAGGTGAGTTGAGCGGAGGTGAGGATCCAAGTGCGGGGAAGAAGGCAGGCAGGAACGTTTAAAGAGCAAGTCACCCCAAAATCAACTTTTTTTTGCTGATAAACTAAATAAGCGAGTGTCTAATCGTGCTGCAGACACGTGTCGTCAATAATTTGGCACTTCAGTGCATCTTAGTTAAAATTTAAATATTCTGCCTAAAACTCAGTGTTGTGCCGTTGTCAGGTAAAAACTCTGCACTGTATTTTAATTTAAATCTGCCACCGCTATTGGCTAAGAGGTATGCTATGATGTAAACTGGTACATTATGATGTCACAATGCTGTCGTGAGCCTGTGTGTGTGTGTATTTGTTAGCGGCTCCGCCTTCTCGGTCTGCCAGGCAACGACATTTGTTGCATTTTCAAACATGAAGTGGGAGTGGAGTTAGACTCTGGTAGGGGGTGACTTGCTCTTTAAAGAGGTTTTTAATGATAAGCACGTGAGACATGGAAACAATGGACAGACAAGATATCCAGAACTGGGAGGGTTTAAACACACAAGGAGCTGGGATCTAAAATGATTAGGAGATGAGAGGCAGGTGGGAGCAATTAGGAAAGACACAGGAGTGAACAGAGCGGGGAGACAGGACAGGTTAGTTGTTTTACTGTACAATGAAGATACAAACTGAAGAAACGTAACCAATATAAATAGGACTAAATGAGCACTGCACTTCACAGGGGGTTGTTTCCTTTGGATTATTAGGGGCTCATGTTAAAGGTATGGAACACTGAACAAACATTTTAATGATTATTTCTGAATATAATTGGTCACTTTGAGTTTTTCATGCAGGCTGAACATGAAAATAGTCTCCTACACCTATCTCCTGCATTAGCTTCTGATGACAGTGAAACTCTAGGATGTGTAAAGTCTGACAGATTGACGTCACTTACGGGTTTTTTTTATTGCTAAAACTCAAAAAGCAAAAATGAGGTACAGTTTTCACAACCTCTACTTCTGTTCACAATCGCCTGACTCAATTTATCACTACTTAAGATTCCCTTATAATATTAGAACTCCGATTTTCCTCCTTTAAACTCTGATGTCAATTTCACATTACCTTGCTGTCAAAACACAGAGCACAATTTTCAGGTTTACACACACTTCTCTCATAAATTCTCAAAGCTTCAATCAACAACACACACATATTCAAATCTCTTAACTTTCTAGCCTGGCAAGCCAGACTAAATAAATGTATTATTTAGTCTGGCCACGCTCCATTGACGGCTCTCGGTTGTGGGGCGGGTTCTACCGTTGTCTTTCAAATGATCTCCGCATTCCACTGGACAATGAATGTGACATACTCTTGTTTCACTCTGTTGCATCATCCCACCCACCAGGCATATAGAGTGCCCTGATTGGCCCACAAAGCGGATAAAGCTCTGTGATTTGTTCACTAAGCAGATAGAGCACTATGATTGGCCCACCATTATGGACCAATCACAGCTCTTTATGTGTTTGAAACCCCTCTAGAGAGCTGTGATTGGCCAGCCAGAGTCCTGGTAGGAGCTGCGGAGGTTCCAATGGAGCATGCCTAGACCAAACTTTGCAAAGCAAGAATTTGGTCTAGTTCACTAGGCTATAAACTTTCGGGTCTGGCGAGCAATTTGCAATCAGGGACTGCAGCATAAAAGTAAGTTTCCACAAGGCTACCCAGGTGTATGAGTGGTTTCAGGACCACCCACGGTTTTCCATTTTATATCTTCCACCTTATTCCCCCTTCCTCAATCCCATTGAGGAGTTTTTCTCAGCCTGGAGGTGGAAGGTGTACGAAAGGAATCCAGAGCCAGGTCCCACTGCTTCAAGCCATGGAGGAGGCTTGTGGAGATGTGGCCTTTGAGGCCTGTCAGGGCTTCATGAGGCACTCGAGGCGGTACTTCCAGCGCTGTTTGGACCAGGAGGACATCGCCTGTGATGTTGATGAGGCCCTCTGGCCAGACAGAGACCGGAGGCATGATGCCCCATGATTATGCTTAAAATGTTTTTTCTCAAAATTTGTGTGATGTCGAATGTTTGTCTATGAGAGAAGTGGGCATTGTAATGGATTCAGTGTGTAGTTCATTGTGTTCCATTTAGACAATTGTGTTTTCAGTTTTGCTCTTCAGTGTTCTTTCCATGCTTGGTAGTGTTCACCCAAAGCCTACTTGTGTTTAAGCAATGAATGGTATGTGTGTGTCAGGTGAAAATGTGGCTGTGTTTACCAAATGAAAACACGTGTTCCATTTTGGGAACATGTTACGATATGTGACGGCAGGGTTTTGTTGCAAAGGGAAGCCACGGTTTAGGAATTTCTGTGTTAGGTTTGGGGTTTTGTGTGTGCAGTTTTGAAAGAAACGTACAGTTTTGCAAATGTCATGTTAGGTGAGAGTTTCCTGACCCACGACATGCAGAATCATCACAAGAAACCGGCAAGTAAATAAAAACGTTCTTTATTATTAAATGAGAGGAACGGGAACAGACGACGTGCAGGCTGGCAGCAAGACTCCAGGAGAGGATTCTGAGGAGGGAGAAAGAGTGAGTATATGGAGGGAAGGACGGAGGATAATCTGAGCAGTGGAGCTTACTGAAGTAGATAGTGGCGAGAGCCTCTGGAAGGGCTAGGTCAGGTCCGGGTGAGCAGGAAGGCTCCAGAAGAAGGAGGAACTGTTGAATCAGAGAGGAGGTAGGAGCAGAGGCTTGATGGGTGCAGGTGAGCGGCTGAGAGTGGGCGGCCAGGGGAGGAGACAGCGTGATCTGAAGTACAGGAATCCGAGCTGGTATGGAGATAGTGGAGTGTGGAGTGAAAACCTGGAGCAGAGCAGGGAAGAGTAGTCAGGGTCTTTTCTGGTCGACAGGAATCCAGCAAATATTTCTCAAGATCTGGTAAACAAACTGGAACTAGAAAAACACAGGATCAAAACGGGTCAGAGGCTAGAGCTACCCAAAACTGAGCAATCGTCCGGCGTTGTGAAGTGTCACACTGCTCCTTAAATCTCCTGGGCCTTGGTGATGAGATCAGCTGCAGCTGGTGGCTCTCTAGATAGATAGATATATAGATAGATAGATATATAGATATATAGATAGATATATAGATAGATAGATAGATAGATAGATAGATAGATAGATAGATAGATAGATAGATAGATAGATAGATAGATAGATAGATAGATAGATAGATGATAGATAGATAGATAGATAGATAGATAGATAGATAGATAGATAGATAGATAGATAGATAGATAGATAGATAGATAGATAGATAGATAGATAGATAGATAGATAGATAGATAGATAAAGTTAAGAATGTGCAAAATAAGTTTAAACATCACACTTAAAACACTGAATTTAGCATATGACACTAAATCAGATAAATATTACCTTAAAGCAACAATGATGATTGTTTTAGTGTCACAGACATACATATGAGAAGAGAAAGTCTTTCCCTCCAAGGACCAACTGACGGATTTGACAACAGAGTTTTAATCTGGGGATTAAAACAACTACCTCTTATTATCTCAATTCTGATGAGCCTCATCAGATAACTGTCCAGTTCAGGTGTACAGTTACACAATCAGCAGGTGGTCAGCCAGGAAAACAGCTTGTTGCTGCAGCCTTACATTTTAAAGGGACATTCCACCCCAACGGGAAATGTAGTCTGTTGCCATATTCCCCAGAGTTACAGAAGTGGGGAAAAGCATTTAGTGACCAGCCCAGCCATTCTCCTGATCTGACAGTATCATGTTAGGTTTTAGCTTAGCACACACAATGTGAGTGAATAGTAACAGCCAGAATTTCGTGTGGGAAAAGTCATGCTCCTCACAAACCAGACACTGATTTATTTTTTACGCTGGTGTCGGGAGGAATTCCAGGGCAAGCCATTCTCTTCTTTGTTCTGCATTGGATGAAATTCTGTGAAACATCGTGCTGCTGTATGTTTTGGCAGCCCTTTGTCACACAAGCAAGAAATATTTTCTTGTAGAAATGTAACGTACCAAATCTACGGCAGTAAAACTCAGCTCAACTCGTACATTTGCGTTTTCAGAAGTTGGTGACTTTTGGGGCCGCTGCGCTTTGCACCAGTGGCTGCGTGTGTGTGTGTGTGTGTGTGTGTGTGTGTGTGTGTGCGCGCGTGCGTGCGTGCGTGCGTGCGTGTGTGTGTGTGTGTGTGTGTGTGTGTGTGTATGTGTGTTAAAGTGAGAAACATAATTCTTCCATTCAGGAGTTTGGGGACATCTATAAGGGCTCACAGTATAAACAAAGAAACTGTAACTTCATGTGGTGACCATATTGTTTCCACCTGTGAGCAGTCATTGGAAGGTTCAATGCCCAGTTCCCCTCCATGCCCCCCCAGGTTTCTTTGTGGTGCTTAAGGGCCAGGAAGCATTTGTTGTGCACAGGATGTCCCTAAACGCACCGCTCCCACTTGGCTTGTAACTTTAACACTTCTCCTTCCACAGACAAACACGCTGACTTCCTCTTCGGCAGTCACATGTGGTCAGCAGGTGCACTGCAACCTCTAATACCATAATCGTGTTCTTAAACTATTAATTTATTTTTTTTGTTAAAAACATTTCAACACTAATTGTTTGAGTTAATTACCTGTAATTATTTGTTAAGTTTATGAAATCCTACTATTTCCATTTATTAAAAGCTAAACAACAAAGCTCAGGACTTTGAGGACATGTACACTGAATTTATCATAGGGGCCTACTATGGGAATGTCTGAACAAAAAAGTTCAATCTGATTGTTTGGTTTCTTGTTTTTCTTTGTTGTTGTTGATGATGTTTTTGAAAAAGTGACTAAAATTGAAGAACCCAAACAACAGAAAATGATAAATAAATGAAGGAAAAAGAAAAGGTACCTTTAAGGTTATTATTTTTTTCTACAAAATTAACAATATTTTAAAAATCCAACAACTTTAATTATCAAAATAGTTAGAGTAATACTTTGTATGTTTCAAATTATAATAAAAGGAAAGTTGTTTTGAAACTTTATTCTGTTTATTTTTATTTATTTTTTTTGTGGTTAACACAGCAATGTTGCTGCAATGTCAGATTTCTAGTTTAAGCTATAAATGTCACATGACATTTATGTGTCATTGTTAAACTGGTGGCTCAGGAGCCTCAGCGGGAAACCTTTGGGGCTGAAGTGACTGTAAGCATGTATTGCTGAGGCAGGTCTCCTCGCTCTTCCAGTTTGTCCTTAAAATTCCAGTAAATTGCTGCCCCTGATGCCATCTTCCAGATTAAAAATAACACAAAGAGGAAGTAATTTCATGATGTATGTCTGCACCAGGAAGCGCATGTGCCATTTTTGATACACAAGTGTTTTATGTTCAGGGAATTCCCCGTTTCCAAACTTCCACAAAGGAAGCAGGATTATGATACGAGAAGGGGTTTCAGGAATAATCTGTGTCAAAAGGAAGCTGACAATCAGTTCTCACATTTTCATTCAGCCCAACAGGATCTGATGAAGTCTCATTCAACAACAAAAGCATGAATGGGATGTGTGAATGCAGATGAGCAGGAAGTGGCCTTCGTCCTCCAAGGACTGAGTCATCTCTGTCCATTTCTGCTGGCGGGAGCAGGAAAAACTCCACAAACACTTCTGAGATGAGGTGGGGATGATGCAGGGGGGGTCGTCTGGGGTGACAGGATGTTTATGGAGTTTCAGATCCTGTTTATCCTAAGAGGTTGCAACCATGCAGGTGCACAAAGTGGTTCTACATCTCCAGGACTGTTGGCCCAAATAGTCCAGAACTTCCTTAGCAGCAGATCTGTGTGCAGCTTGGGAACATTCAGAGACTTTCGTGGGACGTTTCAGTCTTGTTTCTGCCTCATTAACACTTTACTGAGAACAAGAGTTGATCAGGCAGAACTGGAGGCCTGAGATGCTCCAAAGGTCAGGTCTACAGGCTGAACTTGAAAAAATGTCATGACTGGTTACAAACGGGTAGAAACTCTTCACATCTCTCACACACAGTAGTGGTGCAGTTTCTATCTTAGAAGGGTTTCTGTGGCTTCGTGTTAATGTGAGCAGAAAGTTAAATCTGTTCAAATCAGCAGGGCGGCAAATTCCTGATATTCACTACTGAACATCACTCACTCGTCTGAATCACGTTTTCCTCACGTAGGTCGTGGGGAGCTTGTGTCTAACTCCTGTGGTCATCAGCCAAGGGGCAAGGGTCACCCTGGACAGTTTACAGGTCCATCTGTACAGAGACAAGCAGCCGTTCACATAGTTTACACACAATTTAGTGTCTCTCGTTAACATAAAATGATTGTTTTTGGTCTGCAGGAAAGCTGCAGCTGGGACTGAAACCTGCAACCTGAGAGGCCAAAGTACCAACTGCAGCCTCCAGCTGAATTTCAGACCTGATATTTTGTCATCTGGAAAATCATTTATTTTGCAACAGTGTCTGCCATTTAATTGTAATACGAGACAAAAATATTTATTTAATTAATTAACTAAAATGTAATCAATTTTTTATGAATTTAATTTAATTTGACCAGTTTTACAGGTGACACGAAACAAACTTCTCTCATCTATTTTTGCCTTTTTAGTAGCTAATTTCTTTTACCAAAGTATTGAAATTTTAACTTCAAACTAAATTATTCACCTTTTTGTTACGTGAATAAAAAATTCTCCATGAAGTATATATCTGAGATTCAAAATGACAAAATAAAATTTAGATTTATTCAATAGTCATTTTCAATTTGGAGTTACTTTGTTCATAATTATGTTTGGATTAGAGATGGGTAAAAAGTTAATTGATACCAGGAACCAATACCAATGCAGTTGCCTGAAAGTGGCTTCACTGTAACTTGTCATTTCTGTTTACTGAAAATGTTTGTTTTGTGATCATTTCTAATAATATTTTTTATTTTGTATCTACCTGCTGATTCTTTTTCTGTTGAAAACAGAGAAAAAAATAAAACCTGTATTCCAATTCCTTGCATTTTTTGTGTGGTAGAAGTATCCGTATCCATATCGGCGAGTACTCAGATCCAAGTATCGGTATCGTATCGGTTTGGAAAAAAGTGGTATCATTGCAACTCTAGTTTGGATGTGTTTATCAGAATAATTTCAGAGTACCGTAAATCCTCTAATACAGGCCTGCATTCAATTAACGGCCGGGTATCACATTTTGGCCGGTGTCGGAGTCGGCGGAGGTGAATAATGGCCGTTTTTTTTTATTGTGGCCGGGTGGAATGTGGTAACAGGCAAGTACCACAGGGGGGCGGCTGTGTCATCCGTCTCACTTTTGATTTGCCAGTGATAGACCGCGAGGGTAACTTTAACCATGGCAGGTGCGGAGCCGAAGAGGAGGCGAAAATTTGATATCAAGTTCAAAGAGAACGTGCTGATTATGCTGCAGAACACTCTGTGGAGCAAGCTGCTAAACGTTTTAACATCGACCCAACAAACTGGATGAGGATTAAACTGAAATGGATTACCGGTATTTTATTTTTTTACTTTAAACTGGACAAAGATTGAATTGAATTTGAGGGGTTTTATTTTATTTTTTACTACAACCCAAACGAGACGAAACGATTCAACTTTGAAGCGGTATGGTGGCTGTTGCCTTTTCTAATACCGGTATTTAATAACGTTTAAAATGCAGCACAGGTATATTTGCTATTGTTTTGTTACAATACAGTTTTTCACTATTGTAATTTAGCCTTGTTGTTAATGTTTTATATGCAAACCGTACCACGTTACGGTAACTGTACATTTTCAATAACTGAAACTAGTATTTTATAGGTTTAAACAGACACACCCCGTTTTTATTCATTCTACTGGTAGTTCGTTTTGCTCAAATAGAAATTGAGGCCTGCCTCTAATTCTGGCCCTCCTTCCAATAAAGGCCTGGAGCTTGATGAGCTTGAGTAAAATACAGGCCTGGACCTGTATTAGAGGATTTATGGTATACTGTTGAGTCATTTATCTGTGAAGAACTGAAATCTCAACAGAATATAATGCTGAATTTATGACAAAGAATCTTTTGTCTGTGGAATTATGAGTTTGAAATGTTTTGAATTAAAATATACCAGCAACAATTTCATCTTAAAACTTCAACAGTGAAAGTTCTGCAACAACAAATGAGGTGACCTCCTGGTGACCCAAGCCAAAGCCATCAATCGAATGAATCGACACTCCGCTGGTGTCACGTGACCACAGAAGCGTAGTTTGATTGGCTTAAAGCCACTTGACTCCATTGAGTGACGATGACTTTAGCCGTTTGTACACAACAAGGCCATTAATTTGCCACAACGCCTTGGCAAGCCTAGGGCCGTATATAAGTGGTCAGACCGTGGTGGTAATGTGGCGTAATCGTGTCCTTTTTATAAAAGATTAGGCGATGGTGGTATAAAGAGGGTATGGGGGCGGTCCCTGCTCTGCCGCTGACTTCCGTTTATCTTGGATATAACTTGCTTTTTATTGCGATTGAAGCCGTGATCGTTGTGTCTGGATGAGGTGGAGTTGCGGCCAGCAGCAAACTTTCCTCATGTTAATGAGAGCAAGACCGAGCTTATTACAATCCTCCCTTCTAGCAAGAGGTGTGTGAGCTCTGCTCCTGATTTGAATGCTTTGACACCCTACTGTCAGAAGCCTCGGGGTTGTAATTGACAGCGAACTTAAATTTGACAGCCACATAAACCAGGATAGAACCTGCTTTTTCACTTGCGCCGTCTGGCCAAGATCAAACCGATGTTGTCTAGGACGCAACTTGAGTCTGTCTTGCATGCTTTTGTTTAATAACGGCTTGATTACTGTAATGCATTATATGTTGGGCTGAGTCAGGCAGCAATGAAACGATTGCAGTTAGTGCAGAACTCGGCAGCTAGATTCCTGACAGGCTCGAAAAAGATAACACATGTTACTCCTGTCCTGGCTTCCCTACACTGGCTACCTGTGGCTTACCAGGCAAAGTTTAAAGTTCTGTTGTTTGTCTTCCAGGCTCATCTCAGTGGTGCCCTATATCTGGCTGGGTTGTTACAGATGCATGCTCCTACACGCTCCCTTCGCTTGGCTGATCAGGATTTGCTCATCGCCCCACATACAAGGTTCAAAACAAGAGGTGATAGGGTCTTTTCGGTCCTTGCTCCAACACTATGCAATGAGCTCCCACTTGTTATCAAACAGTCCCCATCACTGCAGGGCTTCAAGAGTCGATTGAAGACTCATTTTTATCATTTAGCTTTTATATAATATGGACTTTTAGAATTGAAGTCTTTTATCATGTATGTCTTATCATTTTAGTCTTTTTTATGTGGTATTTAATCTGTCTTTTTGTTCTTTTACTGTTTTTATGTTGTGTTCAGCATCTTGGGCATCTGTAAAGGCAGTGGAAGGCGCTATACAAATAAAATGTGATTGATTGATTGATTGATTGATTGATTGATTGATGTTTTTTGACAAGCCGCTCCTAAAGGTATCCGTACTCCACAGTTCCCATGCAGTCTCTGGTGATCTGACCTCCAGCTCTAACGGAGGGAAGCTCCAGGAGCGCTGCATTGCTTCGGTGTATCATCTCAGCTGCTTGTTAACAAAAGTGAAACTTACAGCCAGTGCTTACTTGCATTTTCAATATAGTTGCTGTTGGCAGCCCAGCAGAAACTCCCCATGTGATCATGACACCACCCTCTGTTGCACCATGGCGCAATCGCCATTTATAAGACAGACCATTACTGCAATACTACTACCAAGTGAAGCGAAACAAATTCCACAAAACTCATGCATCGCCATAACGACATGGCACATCTATAAGACACACTGTTGTGATAGTATTACGCTGATTTGCCGGCATGGCGTGTCTTGTAAAAAGGGCTTTAGACTTGGGACTTCTGAGCTATAGTAAATTGTTTTATTAAAACTGAACAATTTATTTTAAGCTGGAAAAATCCAAACAAAATTTCACAGAAAAAAATATCAATGTCATAATTTCACTGTCTAAAATTACTCTGGTGAGACTGTATTTCATCCATTTTAATCAGCTACTTTATACCACCTCTGTGCTGATCATTTCCTGGTAAATATTTTAACATTTTAGACTCTGTTCTATATTTAACTTTTAATTTTTTTGTTTCATTCATCTTAATCGATTTTTAACCTTTTGATCTTCCTGATTGTTATTTTTTCTTCTGATGTCTCTTTGTACTTTCTTTTTTAAATGTTTTTTAATGATAATTTTTGATTCCTTCTTTCCTCTTCATTCTGTTTTTCCTACGTCTTTCCTTTTTTATATAATTATCTGTTACACCCAACCATCGCTCCAGTTTCCATTCTTTGCTTCTGTGTCTTTGGTTTGGAACCATCTGTCTCTTCTAGGTTTTTCTTAGAAAACGTCCTTTGCTTTTTCATTTCTTTCCTCAGTAATTTACAGACTTAACCCACAGAGGATGTCTGTCTTTTAAATTCTGGTAAACGTTTAAACATTTTTAACTTCTTATCTCTTCATCAAATTCTGCCCTCTGTTATTCCTCCATTGCCCTCGTGGCTTCCTCCTTCTCAGTCACATAATGCAGCAGCTCCATGGCAGCCTCGGAGCTGGGATTGAACCCACTGAACTCACCGAGGATGTTGTGTTGAAAAAAATAACAAACTAAAACGTAACAAAATCTGTTATGCAAAACAGAGGTTAGAGTAAATGAAATGCAACTGCTTGTATTTCACAGCACCTGCTACAGTCTGTTATCACACACACACACACACACACACACACACACACACACACACACACACACACACACACACACACACACGGGTAGCCTATTTTTGGCTCCAGCAGCATCTTCCTTCCTCCAACAGCCTCAGCCGTCGAGTTCACCCATCAGAAAACTTCCTCCCAGTTTTGTAGAGAGTCAGACATGTGAGCTTGTGACACGTTTCTGTTCATCTGACCAGCAGACTCTTCATCCTCGTCTTCATCCTTGTGAACACCTTTCTGCGTTTAGGGCACACCTGAAGGCTGAGCTCTGGGAGAAGGCCACCATTTCCCTTTTCAATGTTAACACAAATGTCCTCAGAGCCCCAGCAGCTTCTTTTCCACCTTCATCAACTCTTTCATCTGTTTATCTCAGATGTTTCAGGACAAACAGGAGATGCTTATTTAAATATTAGGTTTATGAACGCAGCATTTGAAAAAAATAAAAAAGTTTAACTTCTGAGCTATAGTAAATTGTTTCATTAAAACTGAACAAGCTTACAGTTTGAGTATAAAACTGGAGGTTTGCTCTTTCTGCCAATGTAAAAAAAAGTTTATGAATGTATTTTGAAAGCAAGAAAAATAAAAACCCACTCAATTTTGTTATATTTAAAAGCATGATGTGAAAATCAATTCTGATGAAAATGGTTATTAAATGGTCTTCCTGCTGTTAGTCAGAAAAGCAGAACAGGAGCTTTTCAGGTGTGTGACAAATATTTTGGTCTAGGGATGTAAGAAAATATCGATATGGCAATATATTGTGATATTGTTTCCTGCAATATTATATCAATTTTCAAAAGCCGTGTATCGAATTTTGGGAAGAATTCACATGCAAACATTTGTGTATTTTCATTTCCTTTGGTGTAATTCAAATGCCGACTTCTAGTTGGCAGCAGTGTGCAGTGGGTTTTGTTTCCACTATTGAAATGTAAATCTCTTTATTATGGTTCAGATACATCACGATAAACATTTTAAGTATCAGTTTGGGCAGTTTATTGAAATTTCCTACAATAGATTCAGTCTAAAAAAATCGCTGCTATTGTCTGGCTGAATGTATCGCAATATATCATGGCACATTGTATCGTCTCCACCGTATTGTGATGCATATCGTATTGCCAGAATTTCACCAATACACATCCCTATTTTGGTCTGTTGGGAAACACTGAATCCTATAGAAAATATGCTTGGATTGTGGCTGCAGCTATAGTTGGTGATGAACTAGCAACCTCCCACTGGGCTGAGGTCGGTGGTGACAAACTGAACAGCAAGTTTCCAAAAAGACTCCAAAGCTCATCGAGGGTTCTCGGATTCCTCCTTGTTATGTTTCTGAGAATAAAACTGTTGATGGAAACAGAGATACGCTGATTCTGGTGTTTGAGGGCTGACATAATTTATCTCCAACAAGAATTAACAGAAAAAAAGAAGCTAGAAATTCAGATTCTTCATGAGGAAAATCCGTTAGCTGCATGTACAGACCAGTAAAACATCAGATTTTTTGTATTGCTGCTTGACAGTGGATTTATATACTGATATTAAAATTTAGATTCCTGGGTTTTAGATCAACCTATCGCTGTTTATGCCAATCATAATAAATATCAGTCAATTCTGATCAGCAGCATTATTAAAGCCAATGTTGTTGCTGGGATCGATCTGGAATCCTTCTGTCTGTTTTCAGAGTCAGAAAGTAGAGAAATGTTAAGTAACTTTGGGTGGAGTTGGGACCAAAAGGAAAATAAAAAAACAATAAACTAACAATTCGAGACATTTTGTGACTACATCGAAACTATTTGCACTAAAAACGTTACATCATCTGTCCCAAGGGTTCTGGTTAGATATAAAACTGCAATCCTAAATGTGGAAAACAAATTAGCTTAAAACCTTTTTTATAATGCTATATTGTGGAGATTTAAAACAAAACCATAAAATGGTTCTCTGGCGTTTGTCTAAAAACCTCAGCTAGCTGCTAAAGCAACTATTGGACCACCCGTTTTTTCAGTCTCATCAAAGCGCTGCATGTCTGCACTTCTCTGTATCCTACATTTATGCACACAGATGCATTTTGCAGCCTGCCCAGCGAGGCTCTGACTTAGAAAAACTGCAGTTAAAATGTGGAAATAAGTTTTTGTTTTGCATTCTGCACTCAGATTGCTTTGGTTTTCGACACTATTGATCCCCCACACACACACGCACACACACACAGTAACGAGACAGAACAGAAACAGAACTTATTGTGTAAAAATACCTCTTTTTTATTGAATTTTCATCATTACAATTGCACACAATCAGTTTGAGCAATCTAAATTATTTATAGAAATTTATTGAGCTCTAAGTGAACAGTCATCAGTCTTTAGCAGAGGCTTTATAGACGTGGAAATATACTGAGAACTTCACTTTCAATGGAGCTGTAGCTATGGTAACCCCCCCCCCCCACACACACACACACACAAAAAAAAACACCCCACCCAACTGCAACAAATAGACCCTGTGCACCTACAGTAGCAACTCTGGATTAGCCCCTCCCCATCCCAGATTACAGAACACAACACTGCAACATCAGAAGTCACATACAGCTGAGTGTACCAGGGTTAGCCAACAGAAAGCTCCACGGGGTCACAAGTCATGTCGCAGCATGAGAAACGTACAAACGACAGATTTACACCTGAAGTTATCTGGAGAGAAAAGGCTGACCAAGTTCCTCTTTTACAGGATTTTATTCATCCGCTGAAAGTTTCAATAAGCGGAAGGTGAGCTAATTATTCCCTTGAAGTTTTTTTCTGACCATAAACACAAAAAATAAATAATGTTTCCAGCAAAAGCTGCATCATCCAAACAAAACGTGCATGTTTGCTGGCTGCTCGGATCCAGAGGTTAAACTGATGATGGGATGTTTCCACTCGGACGTCCTGCTTCACTGACCGGCGCTCGCTCAGCAGGTGAGAACAGGAAACACACACACTTCCCACATCAGACGTGAACACACACACACACACAGACACACAGAGAAACCTGATGGTGAAGCTGCTTTATCTGATGTTTTTCTCCAACAAGGAACAAAAAGCTGCTTCTTCATTAGCTGGCCCAAACATACAAGCACACAGAGGAAGATGACGTGATGAAGACCAAAAAGAGAACCAGAGAGCGTACTTCTGAGGTTCTGAATCCAAACAGCTACAGTTAAATCCAGAACACCTAGAGAACCTAACAGGGCTTCGGGTTTCACCAGCATCCACAAGCTGAGTGAGCCGAGTACAAAAGAAATAATTACTTTTCTTTTTTTACTCTAATTTAAAAAGAAAAAAATGTTTTTTTCAAACATGAGTTTCTTCCTCACTTTGTCAAAATTTTGTGGAAATGTTATTAGGAGAAACAAAAGTGTGCTGGTGTGTCAAATTTGACCAAAAATATCAGATTTTTACTCATGTTGACCCAGCGACCACTAGGGTCATAGGGAACCGTTTTTATCAGATCTCTGATGACATTCCACTGATTCTAAATTAGAAAATAAAGATTGGAGGATTTTTCTGATCAGAATTCCAGGTGAACTGAAACCAGCTTCTCACTGACTGACTGTTTACTTCCAACCAAACTATACTCGGTTGTAATCGTCACGGCAGCAAGCATCTTTCTAACAAGCTCTCAGCCTCACTGACCAAAGCTGCATGTGCCGATGGAAAAGAAAGTCAACCAGGATCACGGTGGAAACGAGTTCAAATATAAACATACAATGATCAATTGATAGGCACTTAAAACATACACACACACACACACACACACACACACACACACCTAAACACACCGTTGTGAGACGTGACGATGAAACAAAAGGTTCTGGGGTCTCATTTATCAAACATTGCATAGAATTCTTGCTAAAACCGTACTTGAGCTCAGCAAAATAAAAATGTACTTACGCCAAGCAGGTTTGTGATCTATCAAACATGGAGTACGCACAGCTGCACGCAATCTCCGCTTCATAAATCGGAGACTAACGAGAATGTTTCTCAGCTGCATTTTAGTCACATACCGCTCTCACCACGCCCACTTACTGCCATAAATAGTCAATGCAAAGTGCCTTGTGGATCTCATGCATAGACATAAGCCGGCTGTTGCAGCGCTCCGCCAATGACATGGCGACTGTAGATCAAGGCAGATCAAGGAAGCACAATTTCACAGAAGCAGAAATTCAGGTACTTGTGGGTGAGGTGGAGAAATGAAAGGAAGTGCTTTTGCAAAACAAATAAGAGAAAACCCACCGAGTGGCACAGCGTTGCTGAAGCTGTCAATGCTGTGAATTCTTCAGAGATCTGTGGGGGATATAAAAAAAAATGGTCCAATCGGGATTCAATCCCCAGACTCCCGGGTGACAGTCACACGCGCTAACCAGTCAGCCAAACGGAGATCTCCATTGTCCAACTAGCCAGGGTGCATGATCAATGGAGTCACAGTGACAGGACACACACACTGTCACAGACGCATGACAATCTGTCTCAATCTGTCCCCCTGCTGATATTCTGCATTCCATATTCTGCGCTTCAGGCTGTGTGTGCGCGTGTGCGCGCATGTGTGTGTGTGTGCGTGTGGGGGGTCTTGTTCTGTGTGAAAACGAAGCAGTACAAGTGATAATGCTGCAGGATTTCATCATGTTATCCTTCTCAGCAGCAGCACTGCAGGTGCTCTCCATGTCCAACATGTGCGTAAGTCAGGTCCTTAGTCAACTTAAAGTTGTGCACATTTTTCCGCTCAGTTTTCTTTCATAAATCCCAAATTTTCCGTAAGCAACTTTTTATGCAATCTTTGGGATTTATGAAAGAAAACTTAGGGGAAAAATTTGCACAACTTTAAGTTGACTAAGGACCTGGCTTACGCACATGTTGGACGTGGAGAGCACCTGCAGTGCTGCTGCTGAGAAGGACACAATTATTAGATCCTGCAGCATTATCACTTGTGCTGCTTCGTTTTCACACAGAACAAGACCCCCCACACGCACGCACACACATGCGCGCACTCTCACACACACACACACGCACACACAGCCTGAAGCGCAGAATATGGAATGCAGAATGTCAGCAGGGGGACAGATTGAGACAGAATGTCATACGTCTGTGACAGTGTGTGTGTCCTGTCACTGTGACCCCATTGATCATGCGCCCTGGCTAGTTGCACAAGGGAGATCTCCGTTTGGGTGACTGGTTAGTGCGTGACTTTCACCCAGGAGTCTGCGGATCGAATCCTGATTGGATCATCTTTTTTTATATCCACCACAGATCTCTGAATAATTCACAACATTGACGGCTTCAGCAACGCTGTGCCACTCCGTGGATTTTCTCTTATTTGTTTTGCAAAAGCACTTCCTTTCATTTCTCCACCTCACCCACAAGTACCACGATTTCTGCTTCTGTGAAATAGCACTTCCTTGATCTGCCTTGATCTACGGTCGCCATGTCTTTGGCGGAGCGCTGCAACAGCCGGCTTATGTAAATGCATGAGATCCACAAGGCACTTTGCACTATTTATGGCAGTAAGTGGGCGTGGTGAGGGCGGGATGTGACTAAAATGCAGCTGAGAAACATTCTCGTTAGTCTCCGATTTATGAAGCGGAGATTGCGTGCAGCTGTGCGTACTCCATGTTTGATAGATCACAAACCTGCTTGGCGTAAGTACTTTTTTTTTTTTTTTTTTGCTGAGCTTAAGTACGGTTTTAGTAAGGATTCTATGTAATGTTTGATAAATGAGACCCCGGGTATTTAGAGCTGAAACCTAGCAGAGAGGGACGTGGGAGGAGCTCACTAATCGTTTTTATTTTAATTTGTCTTCCGTGCAAAACTTCTGCTCAGTTAAAGAAATGAAATCATTAACAAACTTTGAAGTATGTGACAGAAACATGGGTTATTTTTGAGCTGGTGCCTCTTCCAGCTGAGCGAACACAAGCTGCAAACAAACAACCACCTGAAGAATACACTGGGAGCATTTTCAAGATAAAAATACCAAATATCTCAGAGGTTAAAGAAAACCCCAAATCTGAAACCAACTAAAGATGACGTAGCTCTGCTTTCAGAAGGAAACACATGAAGTCATAAAATGAGAAAAAGATTTGTTTCACTGCCTTTAAGTGGCCAAAGTCTTAAACTTTTTCTTGTAGCTAAGTTCTGCTGTTTTTGGCAGATTTTTAAAGGTTTTGTAATAATTTAAATGTGATGTTTTATTTAATGGTGTTTTAAGCTTCACACCACGTTAAAGGCTTACGGTCATTTATTCTGTCATGTGGTAAAAACAGGAAACATCGAGTTCAGAATGACTTCAGCTCAATTACAAGTAAAGAAACGACTAAAATCAAAAGAAATACCCCATTCAGGTTCAGCGACTAAATGTTTAGACCAGAGGAGAGTCTGAAGCATCCTGCTGTGGAAACATCCTGAAACATGCAGCTTTTTAGTTTTCTGTGTTAACATTAGAGTTTTATATGAACTAATAAAAGCTGTTTGATGCAAATGAACCTCCAAAGAAGTGAAAAGGAAACAACCTTGAGCTCCAGCAGCAGTGCAACACGCACAGATGGATCCACGGTGCCATGCAACATGACGGGGAGGAGCCGGGCCCCGGATCATCCATAGTACAACATATTTTATCTGTTTCTATATATTTAGGCACATAGAAGGCTTGCAAGTTACAGTTCAAAAGCTTTTACGTGTTTGAGCCAAAAAAAGAATGCACGACAAAAACACACACAGCCCACACGAACACACGAGAACAAAGTCTCTAAAGGGTCGGTCAAGTTTTCAGAAAGACACGGCAGTTTCAATATATAAGAGAAACTACGTGGTGTGTGTGTGTGTGTGTGTGTGTGTGTGTGTGTGTGTGTGTGTGTGTGTGTGTGTGTGTGTGTGTGTGTGTGTGTGTGTGTGTGTGTGTGTGTGTGTGGGCCACACATTGCTGGGCTAGTGTATTATTAACACAACTGATGTCCTGTTTATTTCATGAAGAACGTGGAGTTACAGGGTGGTGGTTGGCTCAGAACACAAAGCAAGATGGCTCCAGACCGACGTCTTCCACAACACACACACACACACACACACACACACACACACACACGCACACACACCACTTTAAACTACGTGTGTGTGGCAGGGCGCACAGCAGCATCCAGATGTTTCCCATGAGAACAACTGTATCACAGAGACAATGAGCTGTAACTAATTCAGTAATAGTCCTTTAGATCAGAACATCGAAACGTAGAAACTCAGAGGTTCAAATACATTTTAAATAGAAAAAAATATTTATTGTTTCCTACAAATACAAAAAATAATAAGACACTTTTTGATGAGTCAAGATTTTGTCGGTTAAGAGTCACGGGAGGAGAAACTAAAATGAAATCAACTATGTAAAACAGAATGTAATTATCTTCTGAGCTCATTTCTCTCAAACTGTGACAAATAAACTCCTGTAGGCAGAAAACATAAATCTGTGTCTAATAAATTAAATTCACAAATTTGGTTTCTAGTTCAAACATGTTTATTCAGCAGCAGGAAGAGCTCGTGCTCTGATGTTTTTAAGCTATTTACAAAAATCCAATCAAAACTACAAAAGTTTCACCCTTAAAAAGCTGGTCAGCTCCAGGGGTTCTATCAGTGTTTTTATTTCTAGCTCAATCAAGCCTGGAAACGCATGTTAACAGATACTAGCGATGTGTGTGTGTTGGGCCGTTTTTAGTGTCGACAAAGTCTGATTGTCACCAAACACTTTCTCTAAATGTTTGTTTTTATTTTAGGTTTGATTCAAAATTCAAACAACTTAAGATAAAACCATGGAAAACAAAGTTATGAACAAAAACAAAAACAATCCTTTGCTGTGATTAATTTATGCAGTTCAACCAGCTGAAATGAAGAACAGAATTTTTCTGAGATAAAGCGACAAAATGTCCTGAAAAAAATCCTAATCTCAAATCTGGACCTAAAGTTCACACTCGACCTGCCGCTACAACACACACACACACACACACACACACACACACACACACACACACACACACACACACACACACACACACACACACACACACACACACACACACACACACACACACACACACAACCAAGAGCCCAAAACAAATAGATGAATTTAAAGGAAGGAGAGTTGTGGAGGTGCAGTACCTATGAGTGACCACTAGGAGGAGAGCTGCAGAACTGACCCTCATCAACCCTCTGAGGCGGCCCAGTAATAATCTGTACATGCAGTCAGTTAATAATCTGATGCGATATTTCTGAGTAGGCAAACATTTAGATTAAACACAGCTAGGATTAAATCATTTTTATCTTCTAAATCTTTTTATCCATCAGCCACAGTTTGACCCCATTAGCAGGTGGCACACACCCAATCTGAACACAGAGGGAAGTTTTGCATAAAAACACCAGATTAAATTAGATGGAGCCCGCCCACCACGTCACACAGGACAGGAAGATGTCTCTTCTGTCTTGTCCTCTGTCTTGGTTGGGGATGGGGTTAAAGGGGATCCTACATGTAAATGGGGCTGAGGTGTGGTGGACGCTTATCTTTCCTCCCTCCGTCTGTCCGTTCGTCTGTCCATCCGGTCTGAGCAGACTTCAGTCCTCCAGGATTATTTTCACAAATTGAGCCACATCGGTGTCTTTGGCCTCGTGGGAGGTG